AGACACAAAAAATCGCCGGTACACGTAAACTTAATTATTGGGCGTAGAATCCAGTGGTGTAATCAGTTTTTTAAAGTTAGCTCGTTTTCTTAAGATATTTAATATTTAAGTTTTTGTAACTTTTTGGTTTATTATTTGTGTACATTTTGAGAAATACCAAAAAGACACAAAAAAACGCCGGGACATGTAATCCTAATTTTTGGGTGTAGAATTCAGTGGTGTAATCCGTTTTTTAAAATTAGGTCGTTTTCTCAAGATATTTGAAAATTTTTGTTTAAAAATGTTTTTATTTGTTACTTTGCTATATACAGGGTGGCCGATTTATCTGAAGACATTGAAATATTTCGAAAACTACGCATCGGATCAAAAAAAGTTTTGAATAAAATTTGTTCGCCTGGAAGGGGGCCATCCAACGATACCAAAGTCGACTCCTCACCACCACCCCCTGGGTGGGGGTGGGGGCAACTTTAAAATTCTAAATAGGAACCCCCATTTTTTATTGCAGATTTGGATTTCCCATAAAAAAATAAGTAACTTTTATGGAAAACCTTTTTTTAAATTCCTGATAGATGGCGCTGTAATCGCAAGAAACCCTATTTTTGGGAATATCTTGAAAAATTGCAGATTCGGATTTCCCATTAAAAATTATAATTAGTGTATACGAGAATTGTTAGGGAATTCAAAATAAATTAAATTATTTAATTCCTTTTTTATGTTGGTACAAATTAAAAATATTTTCTTACTACCTCGACTCAAAATACGTTGTTTCGTCCCCGATTCCACGGCAGAAAGTTTACGTTTCTTGCATTGGTCAAGCTATACGCGCACACTCTAATAGCGGGAGTAAAAATTTTTTAGTCGTGTGCTTAACATTCAAATTTCGTACTGCCAACATGAGAAACACAAAAATATGACAGTTTTAAACCATAATTTTGCAATTATAACAACAAATAAACAATTTATGTTTTTACTTTTTTACTTTTTATGTTGTTTTAAGTGTTTAATGATACTTTTATTTGTTATAAAGTAGTAATTTATTAATTAAAATACAACGTTTTATTTTTACTGTATTGGCACCGCTGAATTCACGGCCTACTGTTATTTATTTATCAAGCTCTTCAAATGGAGATAGGTACATAAATACACATTTAATTTTTTCCCGTATTTTCGGCCGGGTTGTATTTTCGGCCGAGGTAGTAAGAAAAATAGTATACACTACACGGGCAGAAAGTGTGAGAGTCCTGAACTGCGCGCCATGATGGCCTCGGCGCAGTGCAGGAATCTCACACTTTCTGCCCTTGTAGTGTAATATACTATTATACCTTACTAATGCGTCCAGGTATGTACATAATATGTAGGTATGTTATAAAAATATATTTATACCTTTGGTATAGAAACACTGTCACAGGAGAAGCTAATGAAATTAATGTGATAGCAGCTGTTCCACATAACCCTCATGTAAGCACTCGGGAAATACATCGGGATCTCGGGATTTCCAGAGATAGTATTCGGAAAATATTGAATCGTCACAAGTATCACCCATACCGGGTTTCACTGCCTCAGGAACTTCATGGCAATGATTTTCATCGGCGAGTAGAATTTTGTGAATGGGCAGTTCAGCAAATACAAAGAAATCCCAATTTCTTCGCTAATGTACTATTTTCAGATGAGTCCACATTCACAAACCATGGTTCCGTTAATCGGCATAACATGCACTATTGGAGTGTGGACAATCCCCACTGGTTACGACAAGTTGAACATCAACGTCCCTGGTCGGTTAACGTTTGGTGTGGAATTTTAGGTAACAAACTCATTGGTCCTTATTTCATTGATGGAACCTTAAATGGAATCAAATATCGAAATTTCCTGGAACATGAACTACCACCTCTACTTGAGGATGTTGCCCTGCCCATTCAACAAATTATGTGGTTTCATCATGACGGTTGCCCAGCCCATTACTCAGCAACAGCACGAGAAGTATTGAACCGTGATATCAATGGCCGATGGATCGGCAGAGGTGGCCCGGTTAATTGGCCTGCTAGGTAACCTGATTTGACATCGCCGGATTTTTTTCTGTGGGGTTATCTAAAAGATAAGGTTTTTCAACAAGCACCAACAACTCGGGAATACATGATACAGCGCATAAGAAACGCTTGTGCTGAAATTTCCACAGATATGCTCCTCTCCTGTGTACAATCATTTGAAAAAAGAATAAATAAGTGTCTAGAAGTTCAAGGTCACAATTTCGAACATTTAATCTAATTTATTAAACAGTGAGAGGCAGGGGGACTCTCTTAAAACTAGCACCCCGATGAGAACAAATAACTACTGCGTCCTTGTTCTTGGGTAACGTTAAAAATAGATGTTAACTCATTGATATAAGAATAAAATCCAAAAATTAAACAAGTTTTTCTTTTTTTCGATCCGATGGGTAATTTTTTAAGATATTCCCAAAAATCGGGATTCTTGCGATTACAGCGCCATCTATCAGGAATTTAAAAAAAGTTTTTTCATAAAAGTTACTTATTTTTTAATGGGAAATCCGAATCTGCAATAAAAAATGGGGGTTCCTATTTGGAATTTTAAAGTTGCCCCCACCACCACCCCCTGGGTCGACTTTGGTATTATTGGATGGCCCCCTTCCAGGCGAACAAATTTTATTCAAAACTTTTTTTGATCCGATGCGTAGTTTTCGAAATATTTCAATGTCTTCAGATAAATCGGCCACCCTGTATATATAAAGGGTTTTCCATTTTGAGTTCCATAACTTTAACCCTAAAAATAAGGCTGCTCTGGAATGTAAATGTCAAATCTTGAAACACATGTGTTCAGTACATTGTGTCAAATTAATATGGACAGATAACAATTTAACAGCGCTTAGAAATAATTCGTATTTACCATCAAAATGCATGTTCGGTTTGCCAATCATTTTGCAAGTTGCGAGAAATATAAGGTTTATCGTTTAAGAAAAAACTGGTTTACTGGCAAATAAGTCAACTTTTGTGCATCTAAAGGATCATGTGAAATCTCAGGTTTACAAAAATAAGCCACGAACAATTCTCGACCTTAAACGAAACATTAAACGCACTATTCAAAGTATACCACGCGATATTTGTAAAAGAATAGTAGAAATTAGGCCTTCATAATGCATTCAGTCAGGCAAAGTCGAGGGGGACATTTAAACGATATTATATTTAAAACATAATGTCATCGATCGTTCTTCAAAATAAAATATAGATTACGGGATTATAACATGTAGTTATTTTTTTATCTCATTTAAAAGTTCTGACGCTCTAATATATTTTAAGACACCATAATCCCTCTTAAAATATCTTTATTTATTTTATTTATTTATAATTAACATTTTTGGCTAATTCCAATTTTAAAATCTATTAAAATTTATTTATTTCTAAAAAATTATTATTTATCAATAATATACATACTTTTTTTGTCAGTTGGTAGTATAAAATATTAAAATTAATTTATATTTAAAAAAATAAAACTACTTGTAAAGAATGTAAAAAATGTTTAATTTTATGCCTCTTTAAAGATTGACCAACAAAAATCAGCAAGCATCGAGTCGAATTTTTTGCCAGAAAACCGATCTTCAAATGTCATAATGGTTTGATGAAATCGTTCACCAGCTTCATCGGATTCGGATGAAAGTTGTTTTTCATAAAAATCAAAATGAGCATGCAAAATTTTTAGCTACATAATTATACTTACTTAACCACAAAACTTTGTAGCAAAGAATTATTTCAATCGTAAAAACTAAAAACAACATTTATATAGGCTGTACTTAGTCTATTTACTAGTAAATGAAATTCTCAAGTTTTATTAAATTCGAATATTTTCCACTGATACCAGACAATAAAATTTACTAAAACAAATTTAATTACAAAGAAATATGCGAAAAATGTAATAAAATTAAAAAAATATGAATAATATCGGCTTAAACACGAATGTTATTAATTTAAGAGACAAAAATTTATGAATTAAAAATAAATGCAGACATTTTAAAACGGATTATTCTATATTTTTCTTAAAAAAAAAAGCAAAATGGTGAAACAAAAAACTTAAATAATTAATATCTTGAGAAAACGAGCTAACTTTAAAAAACGGATTGCACCACTAAATTCTACACCCAAAAATTAGGTTTACGTGTCCCGGCGTTTTTATGTGTCTTTTTGATGTTACTACTGTGTTAAAAGTTTGAAATTTACCTACAGTGTAATTAGTATATTGTGTGACTAGTGAAAGCAAGAGGAGATTCCTTAAGGGTAAAATTAGCACGAGCGTAGCGGGAGCGGTAGACTCCCACACAATATTTTATTCAACTACAGCAAAAAATATACATACAGTGTAAAAACAAATTATGAACAATTAAAGAACACTTCTGTGGGTAAAAGGGGATAAGTCAAAAAAGCAATTTTTCAATAGAGCCTTTAACGTGTTCGAATTAATTCAGGAAATATATTTATGTTTAGCGGGTATACGCTTTTGTTAGCATATGACATGTACTAATAAACGGCTAACCATAAATATGTTTCCTGAATTAATGCGAATACGATTAAGGCTCTACTGATAAATTGCTTTTTTATCCCCTTATGGCTTTTACCCACAGACTTATGGCGCAAGGAATTTATATTTAATATTTTATCTGATATTTGACATGTGTGAAACAGTCACATTTTTTCCAATTTTAATTTAAAGCTTTAGCCCAGGTTGAAGAACAATTAGGAAATTCTTCGGAAAATTCATTATTTCGCCCAACTTTAGTAGGGCCATGAAGTTACATATTTACTGGTGTTAAATAACTGTTATTCAAAAAAAAGTACTTTTTGATATTTTTTTAAATTTTGACTTCTAGATAATACATATTGTTTTAAACATATTCTTGTTTATGCTAAAACATTGACAAAAAGTAGAAAAATGTATTTTAAAATAAATATTTTCTGAGCATTCCATTTTTAATAAAAATAACTAATAAAAATAACAACCTCATTCTGCTGTGAACAATATTGAGAATCATTTGGATTTTCATATTTATATCCAGATACCTCATAATTTAATAGATTTTTTTCATTTTCAATCTGTTGTGCTTTTGTGACTGGGACAGCACCTTTTTTTAAAATTAATTCATTAATACATTCCATCAATTTAACACAAGTCTGGTCAGGCACTGGCAATGTTTTCCTGTAAAGTAATATAATATAATATATAAAATTAGTAATTTCATAGATTAAATGTTTGAAAGTAGGGATGGATTCGATCCAGCCAGCTGGCCAATAGTTAAAATAAAATCTATATTTATTATTTTGTTTAAAATATAATTTTATTTAATGGTGTTGTGTTTTAATTGTTAATTATAAAACTTATAAGAAAAAGTTAATTTTAAAAGCCATATCGACAGATGTAGGCTGGACCCTGTCCCAATTTAAATTTAAATAACAAATTATATTTACTTTTGCAGATCAGTGGCTAAAGGTTTTTTTTTAATTTTAAAATGTTTGTTAATATCCATTCCAACTATTTGCTCTTCAAAAGTTTGCGCTGGAAGTTTTTTTTTCGCTTTTGCATGTTTTGTTAAAATATTTTTTTCGCTTATATTTGAATTCTGACCAGAAAATCTACTTGTTGAACGCCTTATATATTTTAATTTCCAATGGCTAGGACCTGCCCATATTTGATCAATAACTTTTCCATTATGTGTGCGTAGAGTTGAATTATATGAATATTCGGTTTTAATCAAAACGTCAGCAGGCTGAAAATTATTAATATGGGCAATTTCCCCTTGAACCTGTGCACAAAATTCCTGTTCTTCTTGAATATCTTCAGAAATATTCATATCAATCTCATCTAAAAAAACAAATGTTTTAAATTTAAAAACAAAGGTAGCAAACTACCGAAATGTCTGCACTTATCAAGTAGGTATTCAATATGTGTCATTCTACGTATTCAAGGCAAGATACATACACCTTAAGATAGGATGGTGCGCATGTTGGGCGGGGCTTAATGACGTCACTTGATGAGTGTTTTTAATTTTTTAACGTGCTTTTTAATTATCTACTGCTAAAATTCTTGTTTTTGCGATGCTTTTGGATGTTAACTTGCTCTACTTTTTGTTTAACTTGTCGTTTTTGTGTTCGGTAAGGTTCGAATTACTTTTCAGCGTTCAAATTATTGTTATTGGGTTAGGTTAACCTGTTAGGTTTGTTTATTATTGTTTTTGTGTTGCGTTAACTTGTTTTGTTTGTGTTTTAGATTGTATAGTGCCATTTGCATTTATTAAAATGCGGTGTGGCATATTTGGATGCAATTCGGACAACCAGTCCAAGAAAAACCCTTTAAATAAAAACATTAAATTTAATCGATTCCCGAAAAAGTTTGATTTGTGGAAACAGTGTTTAAATGCCACAAAAATAATAGACAATATTTACGTTAAGACCGCTTCTGTTTCCTATAAACATTTTCTGGACAGTGACTATAAGTTTAATTTAAAACACCAACGCTTAAACTACAGCCCTAAATGTTATCAAGGACTGAAAGCATTTATTATCCATATTATAACACTTTCTTCAATATTAAGTTTAATAAAAACGCACTATGTCCACAAATTTCTCAATTTTCTTTGATAATATTACTATTATTCGTGTATTCGCACGGCAACTACTCATCAAGTGACGTCATGCGCGGGACGAACCAAAACTCGTACACGGGAGCATCCAGCCCTGTATTCAAGGTACATACACTTTAAGATAGGATAGTGCGCATGTTGGGCGGGGCTTAAATACGTCACTTGATGAGTGCTTTTGAATCTTTAACGTGCTTTTTAATTATCTGCTGCTAAAATTCTTGTTTTTGCGATGCTGTTAAATGTTAACTTGCTCTATTTTTTTGTTTAACTTGTTGTTTTTGCGTTCGGTAAGGTTCGAATTACTTTTTAGTGTTCAAATTATTGTTATTGCGTTGTGTTAACCTGTTCTGTTTGTTTATTATTGTTTTTGTTTTGCGTTAACTTGTTTTGTTTGTGTTTTAGTTTGTGTCGTGCCATTTGCATTTATTAAAATGCGGTGTTGCATATTTGGATGCAATTCGGACAACCAGTCCAAGAAAAACCCTTTAAATAGACACATTAAATTTCATCGATTCCCTAAAAACTTTGAATTGTACAAACAGTGGTTAAATTCCACAAAAAAATAGACAATATTAATGTTAAGACCGCTTCTGTTTCCTATAAACATTTTCTGGACAGTGACTATAAGTTTAATTTAAAACACCAACGCTTAAACCACAGCCCTAAATGTCATCAAGGACTGAAAGCATCTATTATCCATATTATAACACTTTCTTTCATATTAAGTTTAATAAAAACGCACTATGTCCAGATATTTCTCTATTTTCTTTGATAATATTACTATTATTCATGTATTCGCACGGCAACTACTCATCAAATGACGTCATGCGCGGCACGAACCAAAACTCGTCCGCCGTACCATCCAGCCCTGCTACGTATTAGTGTTGCCCACTAGCTAATCTTTAAGAGTTTTTGTGTGAACCCCTCCCCTCATTTCTTTTGTAGGAAGAAAAAACTCCCGGCCCCATAAGCCTGCCAACTTAATACTTAAATGGTTTTAAAATACATACCGTTGTTTTCATTTGAAAAAATATCATGAATGGATCCATCTAATTCAGCAATGGGTATTCCATTTTCATCAAAAACAACTTCGTTTTCTCTTTGCGAATTTAATGTTTTTTCAGCTTCCAATCTAAATAAAGATATGAACACAATCAGCAAACTTAAGTGATTTAAAATTAATTTGAAAATGTTTGGTCATTTTTATAAATAATGGTAATATGCTGTGATAAAATTAAAGCACCTGATTAACTGATCAGATGATTTTAGATTAAGACCATTTTGGAAACAGTATAATTAAGGATAAGTGGATAAAGGTGTTATGTTACATTTTTAAAGGACAGGTAATAAATAAAAAGCTTGAACGTTAATAATTATAATTAATCAATAAATTGATTTTATAGTTTATAACGCATTTTTTTGTGAATATTTTAAAAAATTTATAAAATATAATAACCATATTTTGTACAATTGTTAAAAAATTATCACAAAAATGCATTTTAAACTATAAACATGATTAAATATAATAATTTGTTAAAATTTTAAATTTTGGATTGTACTGTTCTTAATCACACCGATTTAATTACAATATTTAATAAATTTACAACAAATACATTAAATTATCACATATCACATTTATCAAAAATTGACAAAACATTACCTATGCATATTATTGTAATTTTTCAATGCAGTTTTGTATATTAGTACAGTGTTATTACGAAATAACCCTGAATTATTGACAAATATTTTTTATTTAAAATAATGTATATTATTCAGACACTCTACCTACTACTACTACTACTACTACTACTACCTATCTATTTTCTTGTTATTAGTATTAATATTTAGTAAAGTTTGATATTATTGAAGAATAACGTGTTTGTTTTTAAATAAATACTAATCAACTACGTTCCACACCGAAGTGTAACGTAAGTGCAACCCTACAATAGAGAAATGGTAATATCCTGCTAAATTGAATCCACTGATTCCTGACAAACTGAGTAATAATGCTTTTTTTATTTTTATTCATTAATAGAAGTTCTCTGATTGAACATTGCAGCAGTTGCCTAGTAAAAGAGTTACTAGAAAAGGCATGTGGCCTAGTTTAGTTGCCTAGTAAAAGAGTTACCAGAAGAGGCATGTGGCCTAGTTTAGTTGCCTAGTAAAAGGCTAACTAGAAAAAGCATGTTGTGGCCTAGTTAATAAAAAAAATTACTATGTTGTTGTGGTTTACATGATGGTAAACAGTGTGTTACTGGATGGGGTGTGGAATCACCGGACTGCAATGTTCGATAGTTAATGCTTTTTAGCTAGGTTACCCGATGATATTACTATTGCAAGTTGCAAAGTATCGACTTCGATTTCCTCCTAATTTTTTTTTATTTTATTGAATAATTATATTGATAATTACCCTCTTATATATGCCTACAAGACAATTATCGCTTGATTACATCGATAATTGTCTACTAGGAATCGATAATTCCATTGTATCTACGTATCCATGACAATTAATAAAAATAACGTCAGTTGTTATTTTAATGTGACAGTTATTTAAAATGTCACGTTTCGGTAAAGAATCATTTAAATCAATTAATGAATAATGTTAAATAAAGTTTTGTGTTGAAATTAAAATATTTGAAAATGTTATTCTTTGATTTAATTAATTCGTGTAATTATCTAAACAAATTACACTCGTGCATAAAAATAATCCGATAATTTTGCATTCAAGCATATTGCCTTTTAAAAAATACATTCGGTCATTTTCATATTTTGAGGAAAGAGCCCTCCACCTTCGGTGTCGGGCTCTTTCCAAAATATGAAAATGAACTCATGGATTTTTTAAGCAATATGCTTTCAAGCAAAATTATCGATAATTTTTAAGCACTTGTGTAATTACCCCCGATAATAACAATATCGCGTTGTATTGCATTATTCTTTGTTAGTCAGGATGGACGAGCGGAAGTAGCGACAATGTTTATAATTGCATATATGGAATGGGAGCTGAATTATATCAAAAAGCACCTACCGAAAAGGAGTTAGCCGTGATCCATGCGCTACGTAATTTCCGAACACATATTCTGGGAAATACCATTATCATCAGAACTGATCATCAAGCATTAAATTTTTATTAAAATGTAAATTAGTTAGTGAGAGAGTTGCAAGATGGACTCTATTCCTCAATTAATTAAATTATACCATTGAATATGTGAGAGGAAAAAACAACACGGTCGCTAACGTGCTGTCTCGCTATCCGCATGACGCGCCGCCGCATACTTCGTTTAACAATCAACCGCTCGTTGCGCTATTAGGGGTAGCTTCAGTTAAGAAAATCGTCACGTTTCACGCAAATAACGAAGACAATGTAAAGTAGTGATGGGTCCAACCAGCACATTCTTGTGTTATAGCACACGTTGCACAGCACACTACAGTGTGCGGCACTGTGCGTGTCGTACATTTGTGCGGGGTGGGGAAAATGATTCAAATTGAGAATCTCGCACGTTGCACAGCTCAACACACTGTGCGTGTGGTATCCAACTGTCGGTTTTGGATTTTTAATTGATGTAAAATCCAGTTTTATGTTTTTTTATGTTGATTATTAAAGTCGATAAATACAATTTTAACTTAAACCCTTTTTTGATAAGAGGCAATTTTATTTTAATATAATTATAATATAGACTGTGTTGCCATCACGATACATTATGGATTGGATATTTTCCAAGATATACAAACTGTTAATTATATAAAATAATTTCTCTACAACTTGTAACCTATTGTAGTGCCATCAATGTGTTCTGTGCTGAATCGGTTAGATAAAGAGCAGTGCTGTGTCAGCGCACCATGCCACATATGATAAAGGTGCCTTTTTTTATCTCTGGGTGCTATGTGCTGGTAGCACATTTAAAAAGAGTTGTACCAGCTCCGCACACACAAAAGTGTCGTACATTATGTACGACTCGCACATGTGCGACCCATCACAAATGTAAAGTTAGTCTTGAAACAGCTACATGACCGACAGCAGACCGATCCGATCCTAAAATAAATATTAGGCTTCTAGAATAATAGCAGACCAATAATAAAGCTTGAGGCAAAGCGGATCCATTGAAATTATGAATTAAAATAAAAGTTACGATAAAATAATTGCCATGCTAACTGATTTAGTCGCCGATTTAATCTGGTACTATCATTATACTTCAGGACATTTCGGCTCCAGTAAAATATATGCTAATTTAAAACAATGTTATTATTGGGTCAACATGTTACAGACAATCAAGAAAACCATTCGTACCTGTGACTTGTGCCAAAAATATAAATATCAGAATAGACATCTGTTAGACAAGAAAAACCCAATTCTCACAAAGGAACCGGGACAGCTGGTGGCTGTAGATATCTTCGGGCCATTACCTGAAGGGCGAGGAAAGGCGGCATTCGTCTTTGTGGTCATTGACACTTTCAGCAAATTCGTTAAATTGTATCCAAAGAAAAAAGCGCAAGCAGCGAAAAGACTGGTAGACGATTACATCAAATACATCACTAGTAAAACCGTCTTAAGTGATCATAGTACACAATTCACCTCTAAAGTGTGGATAAATCTTTACGAACCGCCTCGAATCCTGCCGAAAGAGTTAGGCCGACTCTTCCGTACGTACTGTCACGAGAAACATGCAGGTTGGGCCCACCATATAAAAAATATAGAGGACTTGATTAACAAATCCCACACTTAAATACCAAATACAGTCCATATGAGATAATCTTCAGTCGTAAACCAAACTACCCGCTAGATCATTTAACGTTTAAGTATTTTCCGCATAAACAGCCACAAAATAAAAATGATCTGTATAAAAACGACGGGGCAACTTATACCAAAATGAGGTACAACGTAGCAAACAAACGAAAGGCCAAGTTAAACATAGGCGATTGGGTATTATTAAAAACAAACCCAATTTCAGAGGCAGCAAGCAAGTTCATCGCAAAGTTCGCAACACTGTATGACGGGCCGTTTAAAGTCATCGCAAAGCCGCACCCTAATACATACAAATTAGCTAACGTTACCTACTGATAACGCAGTTAATGACACGTACACCCTTACTAACCTAAAATTTTATTACCGCCCTATAGATTCCACAGTTATTACGGACTTTACTTGGTACTTAAGAGTGGGATTTGTTAAACTTTTATTTTTGTTTATATAAAATAGGACTCTGTCTTTTAATTCATAATTTCTATGGATCCGCTTCGCCTCAAGCTTTAGTGTAGGTCTGCTATTCTTGTATGATTTCTTTTAGGATTGGATTGGCCTGGTGTAGGTCATGTAGCGGTTTCAAGGCTTTACATTGTCTTCGTTATCTGCCTGAAACGTGACGATTTTCTTAACTGCAGCTACCCCTAATAGCGCAACGAGTGGTTGATTCTTAAACGAAGTATTCGGCGGCGCGTCATGCGGATGACGCGCCGCCGAATACTTCGAGACAGCAAGTCAGCGACCGTGTTGTCCTTTTCTCTCACATATTCAATGGTATAATTTAAGTGATTGAGAAATAGAGTCCATCGTGCAACTTTCTCACTAACTAATTTACATTTTATTAAAAAATTTAATGCCTGATGATCAGTTCTGATGATAATGGTATTTTCCAGAATGTGTTCGGATCACGGCTAATAACTCCTTTTCGGTAGTCGTGTAATTTAACTCAGGGCCTCTTAGTCTGCCCAACTATGGAGAAAGGCAGTAACTGCTAAACAAGAAATTTGTTGGAAATTAGCATAAACAACATTTTTATAAAAAGCAGTAGGTATTTAACTGATTTATTTAACTTAGATAGTTTACTGCATTTCTTTGTTGAATTAAGATATAAAATGTCCATAGCTTTATCATAGCACAAAAAAACGCATTTAGAATTTTTTTGTAGTTACTGCCTTTCTCCATAGTAGGGCAGTAGTGATCTCCTCGCATAGACCAGTACCAAATGTTCTCCATCAGGTGCGTCCTGATATAATTCCGCTCCCATTGCATATATGCAATTATAAACATTGTAGCTACTTCCGCTCGTAATACAACGCGATATTGTTATTATTAATATGATTAATCAATAAAATAAAATAAAATTTGTAGAAAACTGAAGCCGATATACTTTGCAACTTGGTTTTATTAGATAACAAGCTGAGACAACTTATAACTTTCTTCCATTTCGTGTTGCTACCACTAAGAGAAAGTTACTGTATTAACATTATGTTTATTCACTAGCTGGTAGCATTTTTTTTATAATTTATTCTTTGGCAGGTGATAATTATCATTATAATTATTATAATAAATGTAAGGATTTAACTAGTCGCGCAGGTGCACTGAGTGCTCCGTTTTTATTAAAACCTCTATAACTTTTTGTCGTTTTTTTGGAATTAAATGCCCTTTCCATGTAACCTATGGCTGATGTGTCTACCATGCACTGTCAACGGCATATTCAGACTGAATATGCCGTTGACAGTGAATAATTCAGTTTAAACTATTGATTTCAAAGTTATGGACAGAAAGCTTGAGATTGATTTAGAAATACTTCACTAAAACCTAACTAAATTTCAATTTTTGTAATGTAAAATATTTCTAAATCAACAAAATATGGAATTTAAAACATAATAGTTTTTAAGGTATACATTTTTATAAGAATACACAAATAAAAAAAGAACGGCTAAATTTCCTTCTGATTTCTTCTTTTTTGAGTAGAAGTAATAACTTTTTTTTGTTTTATTTTTTGTTATTTGCTTTTTGTTTTTTTTTAAATAAATATTGTGTTTAAATAGAAATAGAGTTTATTCATCCGAATATAACCAAAAGTAATATTAATGGAAGGATGGAGAGAAAGTTAGGTTGGATCGGTCTAAAAGTTGTTAGATAATAAACACAGGGATGGCACCACCAGTGAATAAACACTGTGTTTATTATCTAACAACTTTTAGTCCGATGCAACCTCACTTTCTCCAAATTAAATTATTTCTATGGTATATTTTAGAAGCGTAGAAAAAGTATAGTCTGAAACACATTTGAAATTGCATATTCCGCTCTCGTGAAACCGTCAAACACGCCTTTGGCTCGTATGACATTCTTTTCACTCGAGCGAAAAATGCCGTATTCCAAACTTGTTACAGAATATACTATTCTATGCCATAATTTAAAAAATATAAATAATTCTAAACGCCTACCGTTTGCACTTACTTTTTTAATATTTTTTAACGTTTAAAAAAACATTAAAAAAATAATTTCAGAAGTTGCTTAAATTGTTTAATTTACTTAAATTCTTACATTTATTATCACCTACTAAAGAATAAATTATTAAAAAAAAAAACGCTAACGTGGAGACACGAAATGGAAGAAAGTTTGAGTTTGAGCTATAAATTATCTCAGCTTGTTATCTAATAAAAGGAAAACTAAAAGTTATTTCATTTCTGGTTATGTTAAAAAATATCCTGTTAACATTAAAGATATATAAAGACCCCAATTATCTAATATAGTTGTAAATTAACATTAAAAATTATGACTTACTGTTTTTCTTCCTCTTCAGGATCCCAGTCATCCACTTGAAAGTCAGAAAAAGGAATGCACAATTTAAAATTTGATAAACTATTCAGACTAAGGGAAAATATTTTTCCTTTCTTTAAAATTAAATTTGATGAATCAGCCCAACCCTTACAATTATTCCTAAAATGTATATGTTATTAATAATTGTATTGAAATGTGACAAAATGATAATTTTACACTATGAAAAAAACAACATTTAAAATAAGCATGTAGCAATAAGGGTAACTTTAATATTAAGTGTTACATTTTATAGGTTTTTATTTCTTACCCATAGTATCAATAAATAAAAATTTTAAAAGTTTTTTCCAATTTAAACTTATGATTTGTCACATTGGAGTTATTTACAGATCAAAGACAATATTTTTCATATTTAAATGAGTTTTACTCATTTTACAAAAATTACTTACAACAGCATAAATTTATAACCAGAATTATCCATTTTTAATGTATTTGTAAATAAGTTGTCAATGGCATTTGACTCAGCATTGGTTCTTGTTGAAAAAAATACAGATTCTAATATTGGCAAGGGAGCAATCAAAGAGGATGGGTCCTTACTTATTGTATTTTTGTCGCCAGATGTAAGACGTTTTTTTTTCTTTATTTTTTTTTCTTGACTTTTTTCATCATTACATTCGAAATTGTCATCAATATTAGCTAAAAAATATACATAAACATTTGGGTGTCCGTTATTTTGGTCATTTTGGAATTAGATCCATTCTACATAAAAACATGTTAATATAATAAAAAAAACCTGCCAAGTTTAAGCCCAATCTTATTCCCAAACCCGTCCTCCAAAACGATTGAATATATTTATATAAACGATATTTTTTTTGGTTAGTTCAAAATGTGAACTTAAAATGGATCAAATTAAATAAAAACTGTTAAAATAATGATTTTATAGATTATTTGTTGAAGTTTTCTAATGTGTCTATGTATTAACCAATCAAAACATTATTATAGTGGGAATAATCACCCATAATATAACAGCAGGACGCCTATTCTCGAGTTCGTAGGAGTAAAAATTTGTAATAGAAATGGGCGGAGTTCTCTCGAAAACATCTACAGCTGTATTCTTGAAACCAGCAAGTGAATTATCGGCCGAATCCACTTCCACTACTGATTCAAGATTCCCGAGAGAAAATTTGACATTTAATAATAATAATAATAATAATAATATTTATTAGTGCTATTACCAAAAGGTTTACAACGTCAGAAAAATAAAAATATAAAAATAGTACAAGAAATGTAAATATAAATTAAACAAAGAATATAATAAAATAAGGACACAATTAAAAGGTAAAGTTTAAAAACTCATCAATAGAATAAAATGAATGAGTAGTAAAAAAGGATTTTAAAAACAGTTTGTATTCATTAAAAGCCATATTTTTTACATTATTTGTTAAAAAAATTAATTCCATAAAAATCAGATCCACTCTGGCACCTTTTCAGTCTAGAGAATTGATTAATTAAGTTGCCTTTATTTCTGATGTTATGGTTATGTACACAGTCATGACTTTTATATAAGTTTTTCTACTCCCACCTTTAAAACGCCCTTTATCGTACATGTTTCCATGACACTAAGTGACCTTTTAAATACACATTGACAAGTTGTGGCTTTACGGCGCTTTAGTCACGGGCTGAAGTTAGTTTTAAGAATAAGAATAAGAATAAAAATAAGTTTATTAACCTTCAAAATTTACAAGGTACGTCATACAAAAGGAAATTTTTAAGTATATAATGATAATACGAACAAGACTTATTAAATATGAAATAGAAAATATTACAAACAGTATAAAATTTGAAAACATGATAAACAATGTAAAAAATTGTAAATATGAATAATATAAAAACTTACACAGGTAATTTTAGAAACACAACATATTTACATACCGACATGGTACATACACTAAATACATAAAATATGGCTAAAAGGATAAGTCTAAAAATTCTTGATAATCATATATGATGTTATCTATAAAAATATTATTAAGAGTAGTTTTAAACTGCTTAAACGGTTTGCTTTTTAAATCATTAGGTAGCAAGTTGAAAAATGATACTCCGAGGTAATCAAATGAATTTTGCGTTTTACTTATTCTATTTTTCGGAATTCTTATAGCTGTTTTAAATCTCGTATTATATCCAGTGTTAGTGTGATCTTCATAGTTTTTAATATTTTTATAGACATACACGAGACAGGCGAGTATATAAATTGCTGGCATGGTAAGTATTTTGTACTTTTTAAAGAGAGGTCGACATGACGTTTGTCGACTTACTCTGGCAATAGCTCGTAGAGCTCTTTTTTGTTGTAGGAGTATTTTGTCTGCTTCAGGAGATCCGCCCCATAGTAGAATACCATAAGACATCTTGCTGTGGAAGTGGGCATAGTAGGTAGTGATTGCTGCATGTTCGTTAACGATGTTTCGTATCCTTCTCACACAGTAGATTGCGGATGAGAGTTTTTTTGACAATTCATCAATGTGAATCGACCAGGTAAGTTTATTGTCTACGTTGACCCCTAAGATTTTAACATGTTCTTTTTCTGTTGGTTTAGCGGTACACACAATTTTTTGTGTCTTTTCAACATTCAGTTGGAGTCCATTTGCTTCGAACCAATGATGAGCTTCCTTTATGGATTGGTTTGTTTGGGCTAGGTTTATAAGCGTCGTGTCATCTGCGTAAATGCATATTTTGGATGATTTTACGTTCCAAGGTAAGTCGTTAATATATAAGATAAACAACAAAGGCCCTAGAATGGACCCCTGAGGTACTCCAATTTTATTTATCCGTGTATCTAAGAAATTTCCGTTCCAAAATACTACTTGTTTTCTATTGGACAAGTACGAAGACAATATATTGTTTGCTACTCCTCTAACACCATAATAAGACAGTTTATTAATTAAGACTCCATGATTTATGCAATCAAAAGCCTTACTTAAATCTAGACAAGCGATTTCAGGTTCTCTTTTTTTGTTTAAGCCATTGTGTATTTCTTGTACTATTTCCACCATGGCTGTTATTGAGGATTTTCCTTTTTGAAAACCATGTTGGGATCTGTGGATAGATTTATTTTTTTCTAAAAATTGACAAAGGCGATTTTTTAAGAGAATTTCAAAAACTTTTGATAAAGCTGGAAGTATTGCTATAGGACGGTAGTTTTTACATGTATTTCGATCTTCTTTTTTATATACAGGAACAATTTTTGCAACTTTTAGCTTTTCAGGAAAAGTGCCTTGTTGAAAGCATTGATTTATTATATGGCTTAATGGTGATAAAATGTATCAAAAATTATAATTTAATGTATGCGCTGCCATCTATGGTAACATGTAAGTACTAGAACGCCCTCTACAGTATGTCAAGTAGAAGCTAATGTTCCCTCTCTTTTGTAGAATAAATTAGTCTTTTATCGACGATCAAACGAACCTGTTGCGTTTTATTTCATCAGGTTATGGACCCAGTTCTTGTAAGAGAAGAAAAACGCGGGAAAAGTAAATAAAACGTGTGTTTAAGTTTGATTCGTAGCAAAAATGTCGGTTAACTATATATCGAGTGTGCCGAAGCTCTTGGGCAGAGAAAATTATGACGATTGGTGTTTTGCAGTCGAGAATTTTCTAGTCTTGGAAGGGTTATCGAAGTGTCTCGATGGCACAGAGACAGATGCCGACAAAGTACAAAAGGCCAAGGCCAAACTTGTGTTAACGCTGGACACCAGTTTGTATGTTCACGTGAAGGAGGCGAAAACAGCGAAGGAATTATGTGACAAACTTAAGTCCATGTACGCTGACACCGGGTTCACGCGAAAGATCTGCTTGTTGCGCGCGTTAATCAGTTTGAGAATGGAAAACTGTGAATCTATGGAGTCATATGTGAATCAAGTGATAGAAACATCGCAGAGACTGAATAGAACAGGCTTTAAAGTTGATGAAAGTTGGGTTGGATCATTACTATTGGCGGGACTGCCAGAAAAGTTTGCTCCGATGATCATGGCGATCGAGCATTCTGGTATAGAAATCTCCACAGACAGCATCAAAACAAAGTTGTTAGATATGCAGCTAGATGGCAGCAGCGCCGCTGGAAAAGCAGGTAGTGCATTTGTTGCGAAAGCGAAGTTTAAAAGTCGGAGCAGAGATGGCAGCACCAGTGCTAAAAAAGATGTCAAATGTTTTCGTTGCAAAAAGTTGGGTCACTATGCTAATAAATGTCAGAATAACATTGATACGGACAAAAAGGAGACACCCAGACACGAAGAAAAGAAAGTAAGCAGTGCGTTTAGTGCTGTTTTTATGGGAGGACAATTTAATAGCACTGACTGGTACATCGACTCGGGGGCTAGCTTTCATATTACTTCAAGAAAAGATTGGCTTGTAAACATGCAAGAAGCATCGAATGATTTGCAAGAAATAATGATTGCAGATAAATCAAAGGTACCAGTACAAGGTTTAGGAGAAGTAAATATTAAAACCCTGGTAAAAATGAAAAAACATGACATTGTAATTAAGAACGTTTTATATGTACCTGGAGTTACAACAAACTTACTATCGGTTAGTCAGTTGATTAAGAATGGCAATAAAGTGTTCTTTCAAGGTGATTGTTGTGAGATTTACAACAAGCAAGATGAATTGGTTGCCATTGCGGAATCAGCTGATAACGTTTACAGGTTAGTGTTTGATAAACCACAGGAAGAATTGTTTGTAGGTTTGGCAGTTACAAGCGAAGTGTGGCATCGCAGGCTTGCTCACTTAAATTATAATGATTTAAGAGCTATGACAAATCATGAAGCAGTAGAGGGATTGACAACAGCGGGTAAAGTTGAATATGGTAGCAATTTCTGCAAAGTTTGTTGTGAAGGAAAACAGTCCAGGTTGCCTTTCAAGCATGCTGGCACAAGGGCTGAGAATTTGCTAGAGGTTATTCATGTCGACCTATGTGGACCTATGGAGACGATTTCCATTGGTGGATCCAAGTATTTCCTAGTCTGTGAGGATGATTATAGCAGAATGACATACATATACTTCTTAAAAACGAAAGATGAAGCTTTGGATTATTTTAAGCAGTATAAAAATTTGGTAGAAAATCAAACAGGCTGTAAAATAAAGGCTGTCAGAAGTGATAATGGTGGGGAATTTTGTGGAGATGACATGGAAAATTATTTCAAAAGCTCTGGTATTGTTCATCAGAAAACAAATCCCTACACACCACAGCAAAATGGTATGAGTGAGCGTATGAACCGCACAGTGGTTGAGAAAGCAAGATGTTTGCTTTTTGAAGGTAAATTGGAAAAAAGGTTCTGGGCTGAGGCGGTAAATACTGCAGTATACTTAAGAAATAGATGTGTGGCTAGTGGACTGAACAAAAAGACACCTTATGAACTTTGGACAGGTAGGAAACCTGACGTTAGTCATATAAGAATATTTGGTAGTGAAGTAATGGTGCACATACCAAAGGAAAGGCGCCGTAAATGGGATAAGAAGGCAAAAAAGATGATACTAGTTGGTTTTGGTGAAAATGTGAAGGGCTACAGGTTGTATGACCCAGAGGAGAATCGAGTCATAACAAGCAGGGATGTAGTGATTAATGAAAAAAGGGAAAAAACTGTTGATATTGTCATAAGCGAGACAAAGACAGAAGAAAATCATGCTACCTCAGATGATACAGCT